AATGATTAAGTAATCAACTTGGTTAAGTATAATGACGTCATGATTGAAAAGAAAAATATATTCCGCATTTTTAAATTAAGCGTGGCTTAATACAATAATATGTTAACAAACCGGGTTAACACGGGGTGTTACACCTATTTAAAGATTCGAGAACCCTATTATTTTCTAGCAATTTTTTTTTTAGTATTTCTCTCTTTTTCTCTTTTCATCAACAAGCATGGGATTCTAAGTGATCGTGTTGGACCCTAAGCCCTTATCGGAACCGCCACCGTTTCTTTCGTCGACGAAATCTGATTACCTGCAAGGCGGTGATCCAAGCGCCGACAAAGATGACCTCTACAGCCGCCTCAAGTCGTTGCAAAGACAGCTAGAATGTATCTACATCCAAGAAGAGTACGTGAAGGACGAACAGAAGAACCTGAAGCGCGAGCTTCTTCGCGCGCAAGAAGAGGTGAAGAGGATCCAATTAGTTCCTCTCGTAATTAACCAGTTTATGGAGATGGTCGACCAGAACAACGGCATCGTCGGATCCACAACCACGTTTTCTTTTTTCGTTTAATGCCTGCAAGTTCTTTCTAAATCCACAATCTTTAATTTACATATTTCTTTATTACATGTATTCGCATTTTCTACCATAACACTGATTCCCTAGGGTACTATACCGTAATTGGGGCTCCCAACGCACAAGGGAAGATTTTTGGTACTTTCTGCCTGAGGTAAACGATTACCCTTCACAGTAATCGATTACCATGTGTAAAGTAATTGATTACCACGCGGATAGAATGTGAAATCTACAGATTTTTCTGCATAATCATGACTTCCATGGCTTCTAAGGGTTCAAACTCTCAATTTTCCACCAAACAAAAGTTCGATCCACATGATTATACATAGATAAACAACTCTTAACTCAAATCATTAAAGTTTCTCTTTTTAAAGTCACGAAACAAGTTATCTTTAGTGGAAATGAAAAAGGAATAGTTAGGGATCACCTTATAGCTCTTAAAAACAGAGAAAGGAAGGGGATTTGAAGTCTTTGGTGTGATCCAAAGCTACTGCCAAGGTGATGCGTGGAATTTCCACTTTCAAGCTAGGACCTTTTTTTCACAAAAGTTTGTTCTTGAAGCTCACAAGAGTGCAACAATGGCTCTCACACCCTAAACCAAGGAAGACAACCCCTCAACACACACACACAAAAACAAAGCTTCATAAGAAGTAATCTTTCTTCTTCCTATAGCTTGCTCTCAAGTATCCACAAGCTTAGAAAGGAAGAAATAAGAGGAAAAATGGTTTCTTGGGTTTTTCTTGAAGAAGAGACTATGGTGTTAAGGTGAAGAGCAAGTGGTAGCCATGAAGATCAATGTGGAGTGTGTAGAAATGACCTCGGGTTTAATGCTTTTTTTCTATATATAAACGCACTCACGTAAACTAATAGTATTAGTTCTACTAATCATTTTTCTACCAAACTTCATATTCTTAACCTAGTCAATTTATTACGAATATTCATATTTTTACATTAATTTTTCGGGTCACTTCATCGGTACTCATTCATGCTGCAAAACAAACGGTATTAGTTTTGACATCATTGCTAATTATTTTCATCCCAAATTTGATATTCTTAACTTAGACATTTTTCTAGGAATATTAAATTTTTATTTCTATTTTTTTAAGTCACTTCACCGGTATCTACTTATACCGTGAAATATTCGGCGTTTACACTTTTCTACTTAAAAGAGACTTATTATTAATTATTATAATTTGCTCTTAATTATCCTATATCAATTATGGAATATTTTCAAAATCATATTGAACTCAATAATTTCCTAATTTAGCGGTGCGGGTCCTTACACTCACCCCACCTTTTAAGAATTTTGTCCGCAAAATTAGCGACATACATGTCCCTAAACCCGGGGTATTGCCGGAAAAGCTCGTCCTCCCGCTCCCAAGTGCACTCCTCCGGTGTTTCTCCTTCCCATTGCACTTTGACTATAGAAATGATCTTGCTCCTTAACTTCTTTTTACCGCGATCGAAAATCTTGAGTGGCCCTATAGGAGTCTTGAGGTTCTCCCGTATTTTCACATCATCCGGTTGCACAATGTGAGTGGGATCAGCTATGTATCTCTGTAGCTGCGACACGTGAAACACATCATGGATGTTGGCTAGGTTCAGAGGCAAGGCATTCCGGTAGGCAACAGGCCCTATCCTACCAAGTATCTGGTATGACCCAATGAATCTCGGGCTAAGCTTCTTGTTAGTACATAGGTGTCCTAGAGACAATCTGAGTGTCAGATGGACCCATGTACTTCTTTACTAGTTATGAATAAATTTTATGAATAAAAGCATTCTTTATCTTGTTTCATATTGCATGTCTCAAATATTGAATATAAGTAACTGGATAAAGCCCTTGGAATGGATCGGGTGTCACATTGAGGATTTGTGATAGAGATAATGATCATGAGGGCTCAATGACACCACACGTCCATTGCCAGAAATATGTTCCTAGTTTAGAGATACCGATAATGGGCATTGGAGATACCGATAATGGGCATTGGAGATCTCAGGTAAGACTAGTATGATTCAACTACTTGCATGGAGATGTAAGGTAGAGTCCTCGTGAGCTACAAATATGGAGATGTCTTAGCTGACTCGTGGGTGGACCTATTGGAGAATAGCTCGCTCTGAACTGACCCACAAAGAGACACTGCAAGGAAATCTCATAGATAGTATCAATATGTAATGTCTCTTATTATTTGGGTGTGTCTATCCTTAGAACTGACGTTGTCCTATAGACCTGTTCTTTGGAAGGCTTGCTTTGATTGTATACCTTGTCTGCCTAAAACATGAAGACTCGTAGGTATACTCTTGGGCATGTCCTAAGGACTCAAGGCTAGTGTGACAGGCTGAAAGAATTTGTCAATCTCTGTGAGAGATTAGGTTATCCATAGACCGGTGAAACCGGGATGACGTTTACGGAACTCAGGAATCTATGCATAGTAAAGGAGTCATGAGATGGCCCGCACTTTAGAGTCCGTAAATGAAGATTCCCTATTTCGGCAAAAGCTAACCCTAGACCGTAGGGGTTGATACGTTTTCCTTGACCTAGGTCAATGAAATGGATAAACCGAGACGAAAAGACATTTAAAATGGTAACAAAATAGGTATAACAGGTTGATCATTCGATGAATTCAACTAGCTCTAAGACAAGAAAGCATTGTTGTTGCTCTGTGTTGTCATTAGATGGATTGGGTCTAATGGGCCCAAGCCCATTGATGTCAGTGGCTATGTTGGGCCTGATGGGTCGCACACAAACACCTTAAGTTGTCTTAAATTCTAGCATGTGTGGTTTGGGCCCAATAAGGCATAATTGGCCTAAGTTGAAAAAGCTCACATATTGGGCCAAGAGAAAGTATGTGACATCATGGGTCAAGTTGGACTTGATCTATGATGTAACCTAATTAATTTGAATTCTAATTTTGAATTTGAAATTTGAAATTTGAATTTAAATAATTTGAATTATAATTTCGAATTTCGATTTTTGAATTTAAAATTTGAATTTAAATAAAATTAATTGGAATTCTAATTTGAATTTTGAATTTAAATAATTTGAATTCTAATTTCGAATTTCGAATTTGAAATTTGAATTTAAATAAAATTAATTTAAATTCTAATTTTGAATTTCAAATTTGAAATTTGAATTTAAATATAGTCATTAAATTAGATTTATTGAAGATAGAGAAAATAAAGGAAACATCCAATTAGATTGATTAACCAAAATTAAGGAAATCAATTTAATTAAATTAATTGGCTGAAATTGAGGAAACAAATCAATTGGATTGATTGACCAAAATTAAGAAAACCAATTAATTACATTAATTGGCTGAAATCGGGAAAACAAATCAATTAGATCGATCGACCAAAATTAAGGAAATCAATTAATTAATTGGCTGAAATTTAGAAAACTAATCAATTGGATTGATTGTATAAAATTAAAGAAAACAATTAATTAAATTAATTGGCTGAAATTCTAATTACGAGTAAGATTTGTCGCGTTGCCACGATAATCAACAATTGTAGACCTTTTTTTATTGTTTATTTAATAATTTAGGAATTTTTAATAATTGTTAATTACTTTCCTTTTTACTATTTTTAGATTATATTAGATTATACATAGACAAATAAGTAGTGATTCATCTTGTTATTGGAGACAAACTTTGGAGACAAATAATAGTTTTGTTTTTATCTTAGAGTAAATATCATTTTTGGTCCCTAACAAAAAATACGGTCCCCACTTTAGTCCCTTACAAAAATAAATTAGTCAGTTAGTCCCTAACAAATTCAAAGTGAACCCATTTAGTTGAAATCGTGGTCCCTCGCAAATTCAAAAAAGAACCATATTAGTCCCTCAAAAGAACTAAAATGGGTTAACTTTGAATTTGTTAGGGACTAACTGACTAATTTATTTTTGTAAAAAACTAAAGTGAGAATCGTGTTTTTTGTTAGAGACCAAAAATAATATTTACTCTTCATCTTATTATTGGGGACAACCTTTGTATTTCCAACAACTATGGGTCCTTTTTATGTGATTCGCGTGATTAAAGGATATCAAGTGTGATTCTTTACGTTTTTTTGGGTTATTCCCCTTCTCATTGGTTTTTCCAAACTATTTGTCATTTTTGTCCTTGTTATTTGGATCCTATGCTGCCCGTTTTCTGAATTTTTTAAAATTTATATAACATTTTTATTTGTTAGGAACGAAAACGAAAATTGTAAAATTTGTTGATGATCAAAAAAGATATTTATTTTTTAATAATTTAAGATTTTTTAATAATTATTAATTACTTTTCCTTTTTACTATTATTAGATTATATTAGATTATACATTATTTCTCGCTGCGCGCGATTATAATTATTTAGTTATTTTTTATTTTTATTTTGTGTTGCATATTTAATGATTCGAGAACCCTATTATTTTCTAGCAATTTGTTTTCAGTCTTTCTGTCTTTTTCTCTTTTCATCAACAAGCATGGGATCCTCAGCGATCGCGTCGGACCCTGAGCCCTTATCGGAACCGCCACCGTTTCTTCCGTCGACGAAATCCGATTACCTGCAAGGCGGTGATCCAAGCGCCGACGAAGATGACCTCTCCAGCCGCATCAAGTCGTTGCAGAGACAGCTAGAATGTAACTACATCAAACAGAAGCACGGGAAGGACAAACGGAAGAAACTGAAGCGCGAGGTTCTTCGCGCGCAAGAAGAGGTGAAGAGGATCATCAGCACTATGAATCGCGAGTTCCTCAAACCCTCCGCCTCTGTCGCCCTCCACAGCCACTCCAACGCGCTCGTCGATGTTCTACCTCCGGAGGCCGACTCCAGCATCTCCCTCCTGAGCCAGTCCGAGAAGCCCGATTTCACTTATAATGTCAGTTCGTATTAGTATAGTATTTTCATTTGCTGATTCTGTTATATTAGCATTTGCTGATTCTGTTATGATAGGTGTGCATTGTGCTTTATGCGTGTGCATTCTGTTAGAGCATTCTGTTAGAGAGCTTAATTTTAGGCTTTTCTGTTAGCACCATTTGCTACTTATATTCTCAGTCTTGTATTCATTTTACACCCAATTAATGAAAATGATTATTCAGTTTTCTTTCTCTTGGTTCTGCTTCTCTGAGACCAATATGGTATAAATTCTGCTTTTCTGAGACTAATATTCTCAGTCTTTTATGATTATTCATTTTTTTTTTCTTTTTTCAACCCTTCTGTATCTTTTATTTCGGTTCATCTACTGTCGACCCTGATTAATTTAGGATAAAGGTACCGTTGATGTTGAGTGATAAATTTTTGTTTGTTTTGCGGACCTTCAGATGCATTTATAGTGAATTATTTAATACCTTATTCTCAGCTGCTTGCTAGCCTATTATTTGATGTTTTACTTTTGAACAGGTTTGCATAGCCGAAATGAATTTGGGTGATGAGGTGGATCCGGAGGATTATGTTTCTCGTCCCGACAAAATTAGTGCTGCTGAGGTTTGTTCATATCTAATTCAATAGTTTTCATGCTGTTAATCATTTTATGTAAGCACGCTCATTAATTACATGATCATAAATGATTTTTGAAATTTTTAAAAATTTCTTGTTTTTCACTTCCATTATCATGTAAGAAGGCTTAAAGCAACTTTAAAAACTTACTTGGGGAGTGGTCGGCAGCTTCTTTGAAAATCACTCTTACAATTTTCAGATATAGTTGAAGACTTGTGGAAAATAAGCTGATGCTTTGGACAATTTTTTTTGAAATGAAAACTGATGTTTTAAAGAAAATTATCATGTTTCTTTTTTTAAGGTACTTTGGATTAATTGATTAACTCGATTGCATTACTTCGTGGGGGAAACATGGGAAATCGCTGAACAGAGTTGAAAGTTCAGGGTTGAAAGTTGTTCCGGATGGCCCAACAAGAGTCAGGTCCAATAGTCAAGGCCTAACACCTACCAAGCATCCACGTCAGCCCTACCAGCTGGGGCGACGCGTACCCCCCAATATGGTAACTTCCCAAGGCTAAACACCAAAGTATCCCACATAGGGACCTCAACTCCCGAAAGAGGTCGCCTAAATGCCTTAAGAGGAAACTGTCCCCCTGGGACCAATGCTGACACCGCCAGACGCAGAAGTCACAGCGCTGCTATGATGGCAGCGCCTATCACGCCCAACACTGCCATCGGCACATGGTCCCAAGGAGAGTTGACCTTCTCCCCACCAACCTTCACCCGGTAAGCACAATCTTCTCTTATAAATAGCTCCTCAGGGGCACCCCCAGGAGCATCTTATGTATCGTTATACTGTCCATTTCCTTAGAGTCATTTTATCACCCTAGCTTATCCATTGATTACTTTGCTTGTACTTGGCACTATACCCCTTAGCTTGGTCTGTACCTGTGCTAAGGGTACCATCCATACATTGACTCATCCCTAAAGGGAACATAGTGGGCTTATAGATTCCAAACGGTACATTGGCGCCGTCTGTGGGAAACTATAAACTTCTATTCCCATCCTCCTACCTAAGATCACAAGACGTCCTTTCTATCTGAATAACTAACATGGTCGTCACGACTAGAAGAGCGGAACAAGCCAGGGCTATCACCCCTGATGGTCACGTACAAACTGTACATTCCAACTCCCCGCCATCCATGCGTTCAGCCCTAGCTGCACGACACGCTGCAGAGGCTGTCCCACCAGTACTACTATCTGCCAGGCCACAGTTGCCAGCAGCTGACGCCGGAATAGCTCAGCCAGGTCACCATGCACCTATACATGAAATGCAAGGAGAAAATGTGGTCCCTGACCAGCCCCCGCCGCCGGGAGTTCACTTTGGAATGCCATTCCACGCTGCTGCCCCTCTAGTTCACCCAACCGCTTATCGACCACAACCAGCCCGCAGTCAACCGGTAGCGATCTATAACACTCATCGAGCCCCCATGGGCGCCCCACACCCACAAGGACCTTACACCCACAATATCGCTGCTCCTTTCCCCAACCTTACATCGCTGGTTACCCTTTCCATGGCTATGCCATGCCACCTCACCATATTGCTTCCCTACAACCCCTAGCGTCTTGCCAGAATGCCGGACAACCACCTTATATCGCCCATCAGGTCCCTAATCACGCCCCAGCTCTCTCTTACTCCATTGAGGCCCCACATATACCTCATTCACAGCCAGACCACCAAGCCCACAACCACAACGTCAGAATAACCCCTACTCATACGTCAGGGCACAACAAGCCCTTGACCGACATCCTGCGGTTGACTCCCATACCCCTAGGCTTTAAAGGCCCCTCCAACATCGCCACATATGTTGGAGAGACAGACCCTTTTGAATGGGTCCAAAAGTTTGAAGCAGCAATGACGCTGCATGGCGAAACGGACCTCCTTATGTGCAGAACTTTCCCTGCCCTTCTGGGAGGGAGAGCGCTGACATGGTACACTACCCTACCGACTGGAAGCATCGCGTCCTTGGACGACTTAGCAAGTAAGTTCCAGTCCCACTTCGCAACCAGCCGCCCCGTGCCAAAGTCCGTTCACTCACTCGAGAAAATCCGCCAACAATCTGGGGAGTCTCTTCGATCCTTTTTAGACCGCTTTGACAAAGAAGCCCTACAGGTGCAGGGCTTAGACCCAAAAGTGCAGGTTCATATACTCCTTTCAGGCTTACGAGCGGGGTCGTTTGCCTACGAGCTAGTGCGCCACGAAATTACTGAGCTAGAAGAAGTTAGGAAAGTGGCCCAGGAGTATATGAGAGTTGAAGAATACAAGGGAAGTCTAGCTGATGATGCCTACAGCCAAGAGAAGGCAGCCAGCAAAAATAAGAGCCCAGCAGAAGATAGTAAGAAGGGACATAAGTCAGCTAGATATACCAACTACCCTTCGAGGCGTGACACAACAGGGCGCCAAACTCACAGCGTCTATAGACGGATTATAAAGATGATTCCAGGGGAAATCAACGCCCTCAGCAGCCAGCTAGAGAAGTCGTGGTCTACTGCAAGTTCCACCGCAGTAACGGCCACATTACTGAGGAGTGCAGGCACCTCAAAGATGAGATTGATGAGCTCATTAAGGGCGGTGCTCAAAGAAGAGATGGCGATGGTGCACGCCCATCGGGAACCGGAAGGCGGTACAAGGAGCGCAGTAAATCGCCAGAGAGACGACGAGCGAGGCAGGTGAACTCTCGACCACGACATGAACGTGACGGAAGAGAAGACTCTCCAAGGAGCCGAAGAGCGCAAGCAAGCCCCAACGACAGAGGAAGGCGAGACGACGAGGGAGAAGACCTCGCAACCGTCAAGCACGGAGTTATAAATATGATTTCCGGAGGATTGAGCGGTGGCGGTGAGACGTCGAACGCCAGAAAAAAGCACTTGAAGCAATGTATGGCGGTTGCTGGGAAAGTCATTAGTAAAATAGACTCAAGTCCGACCAGGCCCAAAATTGTTTGGGATAACAGCGATCTAGGCGATGTCCTCCCAGGACATGATGACCCTCACTTCATTCAAGCCATAATTGCCAACTATGGTGTTAACCGTGTATTTGTCGATCACGGCAGTTCCGTTGATATTTTGTTTTTGCCATGTTTCAGGGCGCTGGGGTTTACAGTTGATGACTTAACCCCGGTCGCAGGAGAACTTTCAGGTTTCAACACAACCAAGCCGTTGGGCGTGATTAGTCTACGTCTCTCCTTCGGAACGCCGCCCACATCAAAGTCAGCAGATATCCAGTTCTTAGTGCTAGACACTCCTTCTGCGTATAATGCCATTCTCGGCAAAAGAATGTTCGTCGCCTTTGAGGTGAGCATCTTCCATCCACACTTGGCGATGAAGTTCGTCGCCAGAGACAATAAGGTCGTAACGGTGAAAGGCGACCAGATAATAGCCAGAAGTTGCTATAATTTATCCTTGCGACCAATGACTAAGGTAACTTTCAAAGATCAGCCAGCATCTCAACAAGTGGGGGACCTGCCCACCAATGAAGGACCTGCCAAGAAAGGGGGAGCTCACGATCAGTGTTTCCTGGTAGAATTTGATGCAAGAGATGATTCGCGAGTAGAGCATGCTAGGCCCACGCCAGACGGTGCATTAGAGCACGTCGTGCTGGGCGATGATAATCATCAGACAACAACCATCGGGGCGACCTTGGATCCCGAAACAAAAGACAGGTTGATCAAGCTGCTGAGAGACAACAGAGACCTATTTGCATGGAAACCATCAGACATGCCAGGCATCGATCCCGAAGTATGTTGCCATCGTTTGTCCATTGACCCCAAAGCCAAGCCCATTTCCCAGAAAAAGAGAAAGTTTGGCGTCGAGCGCCAAAAGATCATTGATGAAGAAGTGAAAAGACTCCACGACGCAGGGTTCATCCGAGAAATCAAGTACACCACGTGGCTATCCAACCCTGTCCTGGTTAAGAAGCCAAACGGGGCGTGGAGAATGTGCGTAGATTATACTGATCTAAATAAGGTATGCCCTAAAGACGCATACCCTTTTCCTAGCATAGATCAGCTGGTTGACAACGCGTTCGGTTTCAAAATGTTGTCGTTCATGGATGCATACTCTAGTTACAACCAAATACCTTTGCTGGAAGAAGACCAGTGTAAGACGACGTTCATCACCCAGAACGCCAACTAGTGCTACACCATGATGCCCTTCGGTTTAAAGAATGCAGGCGCCACTTATCAACGAATGATGAATGAAGTATTCAGAGACCTGATCAGCAATTGCATCGAAGTTTATATCGATGACATGATCGCCAAATCTAGAACGCCAAGCCAGCACTTGACAGACCTCTAAGGCGTGTTCGACAGATTGAGAAAATTCAATATGCGCCTCAACCCCAGCAAGTGCGCCTTCGGCGTTCCTGCAAGTAAATTCCTTGGATTCATGCTCACAGAGAGGGGTATCGAGGTCAACCCTGACAAGTGCAAGGCGATCATAGAAATGCGAAGCCCGCAAACAGTTAAAGAAGTCCAACAGCTGACAGGAAGGTTAGTATCCCTCACCCGTTTTTTGGCGAATTCCGCGCATAAATCCCTTCCACTTTTCAGTCTCCTCAAAAAAGGGAACGCCTTTCGATGGTAGGAAGAATGCAAAAAAGCCTTTCAGGAGTTCAAGAGGGCCCTCTCATGCCTGCCAGTATTAACCAAGCCAGACAGTGGGGAAACGCTTTATCTGTATCTTGCGGTAGGAAGCAAAGCTGTCAGCGCAACCCTAGTCCAAGAATCCAAAGGAGGACAAAAACCTATCTATTTCATTAGTAAGGTTCTCCAAGGCGCGGAGCTCCGGTATCAGCAGGTAGAAAAGGTCGTCCTGACGCTCATCTTTGCAGCACGGCGGTTGAGGCCCTATTTCCAATGCCATTCAATCACGGTCAGGACCAACCAACCAATTCGTCAAGTTCTGCATAAATCTGACATAGCTGGAAGGATGATGTCCTGGGCGATTGAGCTATCAGAGTACCAAATCACATATGAGCCAAGAACCGCCATCAAGGCTCAAGCCCTTACAGACTTCATCGCCGAAATGACGCAAGCCATCCCGCCCATGAACCAATCCGAAGTAACGCCATCATCAGAGATGTGGAAGCTATATGTTGACGGCTCTTCAAACGCCAAAGGCTCATGGGCAGAAATGATAGTCGAAAATCCAGATGGAGTATCTATCGAACATTCATTGTCTTTTGAGTTCAATGCTACAAACAATCAAGCGGAATATGAGGCCATGATAGCTGGCCTAATCCAAGCAAGAGAGATGGGAGCCCGATGCCTCAAAGTCTTTAGTGACTCCCAGCTGGTGACGTCTCAAATATCCGGGGAATACCAGACCAAAGGACCTCTGATGTGCAAATATCTAGAAAAATTCAAAGAACTAATTCAGAGTTTCGAAAGTGTTGAGGTAGAGCACATTAGGCGTGCTGAAAATACACGGGCAGATATTCTCGCCAAACTGGCCAGCACCAAAAGCCCAGGCAACAACGGTCCGTCATCCAGCACAATATGCCAAACCCGTGCATAGTCATGAGCATCTCGACGCCGGCCCCCGAAACAACAAAAAGAACCTAGATCACGCCCATTATCAACTACTTAGCTGAGGGGATCGTTCCTCCTGACCAAAAAGAAGCCAGGAAAATTGTCCGAAAAAGTGCTCATTTCTGCATAGTGCAAGGGCGGTTATACAAGCGAGGACTCTCCACCCCACTCCTGAAGTGTTTGAATCCGGAGGACGTCCAGTATGTGCTAGAAGAAATCCATGAAGGAATCAACGACCACCATATGGGCGGTCACTCGCTAGTAAAGAAGGCATTAAGAGCGGGATTTTATTGGCCAACTATGGAGCACGACGCCCGAGAACACGTCAAAAAATGTGAGCAATGTCAGAGGTTCGCCGATATACACAAAGCTCCGCCTGAAGAATTGACGTCAATTACCTCGCCATGGCCTTTCTACAAGTGGGGAATTGACATTCTAGGCCCTTTCCCAATGGCAGCCGGGCGAGTTCAGTAGTTGATCGTCGCCATAGATTACTTCACCAAATGGGTAGAAGCAGAACCCTTGGCCACCATTACATCCCAGAAAGCAAGAAGGTTCTTTTGGCGTAGTATAGTCTACCCCTTTGACATTCCGGGAGAAGTCATTACAGACAATGACACTCAATTCACTGATGCCAAATTCCGTGAACTAATGAACAACCTACAGATCCAGCACCACTTTGCCGCAGTTGAACACCCTCAATCCAACGGCTTAGTAGAATCAGCCAACAAAATGCTGAGTAAAGGAATTAAGAAGAAGTTGGAAGCACATAAAGGGGCCTGGATAGATAATCTAGACAACGTCCTATGGGGATATAGGACAACAACCCAGTCATCCACTAGAGAAACGTCGTTCAGACTAACCTACGGCTCTGAAGCCATGATTCCGGTAGAGATCGATGAACCTTCCTGGCGACGAGAGCACGTGACTGAGATAGCCAACACCCAGAACTTGAAAGAAACGTTAGATTTGCTTGACGAGCTCAGAGGATGTACCGCCCAGTCCGATCAACAGTCAAAAGAAAAGTCAGCTACTTATTACAACAAGAAAGTCATCCCCTTGAATTTTCAAGAAAAAGATTTGGTGCTTCGAAAAACAGACGTTGGAAAGAAGAACGCCCGTGAAGGTAAACTCGCCCCACATTGGTAGGGACCTTACCGGATAACCAACAAACTAGGACAAGGCGCTTACTCCCTTGAAACGCTGGATGGAAGGGCGATACCACGGACATGGAACGCTGACAAGCTCAAGAAATATTATAGCTAAATCATCATGTAATTCCATCTGCACTCTTTTCCTTTTCCATGTTTTTATCCCCATGGGTTTTACTGGGAAATGTTTTTAATGAGGCAGAGTTACAAACTTTCAATAAATTGATTGCAAATTCGTCAACAATGTCAAATTAACGCCCAATTAACGGGATGGTTCTCACCCCCGCCATAGTTGGACTGGGATGGTCCTCATCCCCAGCCAACGCCCAACTAAAGGGACGGTTCTCACCCCCGCCGTAGTTGGACTAGGAAGGTCCTCACCCCCAGCCAATGCCCAATTAACGGGACGGTTCTCACCCCAGCCATAGTTGGACTGGGAAGGTCCTCACCCCCAGCCAACGCACAACTAACGGGACGGTTCTCACCCCCGCCATAGTTGGACTGGGATGGTCCTCACCCCCAACCAACACCCAACTAAAGGGACGGTTCTCACCGCCGCCATAGTTGGACTGCGAAGGTCTTCACCCCCAGGCAACGCCCAACTAACGAGACGGTTCTCACCCCCGCCATAGTTGGACTGGGATGGTCCTCACCCCCAGCCAACGCCCAATTAACGGGACGATTCTCACCCCCGCTATAGTTGGACTGGGACGGTCCTCACCTCCAGCCAACGCCCAACAAAAGGGACGGTTCTCATTGGACTGGGAAGGTCCTCACCCCCAGCCAACGCCCAATTAAAGGGACGTTTCTCACCCCCGCCATAGTTGAAATGGGATGGTCCTCACCCCCAGCCAATGCCCAACTAAAGGAACGGTTCTCACCCTCGCCATAGTGGGACTGGGAAGGTCCTCACCCCCAGCCAACGCCCACCTAACGGGACGGTTCTCACCCCCGCCATAGTTGGACTGGGATGGTCCTCACCCCCAGCCAACGCCCAACTAAAGGGACGGTTCTCACCGCCGCCATAGTTGGACTGTGAAGGTCCTCACCTCAGGCAACGCCCAACGAACGAGACGGTTCTCACCCCGCCATAGTTGGACTGGGATGGTCCTCACCCCCAGCCAATGCCCAATTAACGGGGCGGTTCTCACCCCAGCCATAGTTGGACTAGGAAGGTCCTCACCCCCAGCCAACGCCCAACTAACGGGACGGTTCTCACCCCCGCCATAGTTGGACTGGGATGGTCCTCACCCCCAGCCAACGCCCAACTAAAGGGACGGTTCTCACCGCCGCCATAGTTGGACTGTGAAGGTCCTCACCCCCAGGCAACGCCCAACTAACGAGACGGTTCTCACCCCCGCCATAGTTGGACTGGGATGGTCCTCACCCCCAGCCAACGCCCAATTAACGGGACAGTTCTCACCCCCGGGCCAACGCCCAATTAACGGGACGGTTCTCACCCCGCTATAGTTGGACTGGGACGGTCCTCACCCCCAGCCAACGCCCAACTAAAGGGACGGTTCTCACCCCCGCCATAGTTGGACTGGGAAGGTCCTCACACCCAGCCAACGCCCAATTAAAGGGACGGTTCTCACCCCCGCCATAGTTTAAATGGGATGGTCCTCACCCTCAGCCAACGCCCAACTAAAGGGATGGTTCTCACCCCCGCCATAGTGGGACTGGGAAGGTCCTCACCCCCAGCCAACGCCCACCTAACGGGACGGTTCTCACCCCGGCCATAGTTGGACTGGGATGGTCCTCACCCCCAGCCAACACCCAACTAAAGGGACGGTTCTCACCCCTGCCATAGTTGGACTGGAAAGGCCCTCACCCCAAGCCAACGCCTAACTGAAGGGACGGTTCTCACCCCCGCCATAGTTGGACTGGGAAGGTCCTCACCCCCAGCCAACGCCCAACTAAAGGGACGGTTCTCACCCCCGCCATAGTTGGACTGGGATGGTCCTCACCCCTAGCCAACGCCCAACTAACGGGACGGTTCTCACCCCTGCCATAGTTAGACTGGGACGGTGCTCACCCCCAGCCAACACCCCCGCCATAGTTGGACTGGGAAGGTCCTCACCCCAGCCAACGCCCAACTAAAGGGACGGTTCTCACCCCTGCCATAGTTGGACTGGGATGGTCCTCACCCCCAGCCAACGCCCAACTAAAGGTACGGTTCTCACCCTCGTCATAGTTGAACTGGGAAGGTCCTCACCCCCAGCCAATGCCCAACTAACGGGACGGTTCTCACCCCCGCCATAGTTGGACTGGGATGGTCGTCACCCCCAGCCAACGCCCAACTAAAGGGACGGTTCTCACCGCCGCCATAGTTGGACTGAGATGGTCCTCACCCCCAGGCAATGCCCAATTAACGGGACGGTTCTCACCCCCGCCATAGTTGGACTGGGATGGTCCTCACCCCCAGCCAACGCCCAACTAAAGGGACGGTTCT